AGGGGTATTTAGCAACGGGAGGAAACCGGAGGACCCGGAGAAAACCCACGAGATTGGACAGGCGAGTCTACATATCAAATGGTCCTAAACTGTTGTTTATTGTATATTATACATGTACATCATGTTAGTACAAAACTATTAAAAATCTATAAATGTCACCACAACTTATACTAGACAAGTTTAATGTCAGGAGTTCGTCACGCCTCTTCTGTTTACAATAATAGTTATTGTTTGTTCATTTTCGATTGTTTTTATTGAATAGATCTTTTTAAGACTAGCCGAGTGCACAATTATAACGTCATAACTTCTTTACATAAAATATCCAATATGTCATTTCGACCATTTTGATGGCTCCACCATTCGTTGGTCCTATTAGGTACATTTTATTTATATTTATTTTCATTCATTTTATATTTTATTTTCATTCATTTTATATTTTATGTTCATTTCATTCATTTATATATTTATTTCCATTCATTTATATATTTATTTTCATTTTTATATTTATTTTTATTCATTTATATATTTATTTTTATTCATTTATATATTTATTTATATATTTATTTTCATTCATTTATTTTCATATATTTATTTTCATTAATCATATTTTTATTTTCATTCATTTATATATTTATTTTCATTCATTTATATATTTATTTTCATTCATTCATTAGAGTTTTCAAACATTGTTTTTGAAAATTGTGAAGGTTTGTAAGTGTCAGACAGTTTGTAGATGAAATGAGGTTTAACGTTCTACTTTCCTGCACCGACTGGATTGATGAAGACGGAGTTTGTGTAGATGACCAAAATATAATATGTTTTAACTCCATGCAAGTACGGCTTGGTCTATTTGACAAGGCCAAATGCATATTCTTCAAGGACACGAGATGTAAACAGGGTTAGGGCACTTGATTGTTTCTGGGGATTGTAAGTTAGCGCTAGTGTAAGGCGTAGGGCTAGGTCTTGGGTTAGGTTTAAGAATTTGGGGAGAGGTTAAGTCTCCACATAAGCACTGACCTAGGATGATGAAAATTTAGTTAGTTAGGGTTAGCGCTAGCTCTCTTTGTATCTCGTGACCTTGGGGAAATTATAATTATGCATTTCGCCTTGTCAAATAGATTTAACCATGCATGGATTGGGTGTAGATGGTTTTCATAAATCAATAATAATAATGCAACTTTATAACTGAAATCAACGTCAGTCTATACACATGGTGATACGTGTTTCGTTACCCGGCAACCAATTTTAAATATGCCACAGGGACTTAACGCTGGGATTTTCTTTTTTTTTATAATGGGTTTTAAAGAAGTGGTAATTAATTGAAAAAAGTAGATTAAAGTCTCCTCATCACGGCCAATCATGTGATTCATATCAGTCATGTCGACGTATGTTGTCGTCCCTGTTCGTCCGTCTGTCCGTTCACATTTTGTTTGTGGACACACTACAGGTCACACTTTTGATCCGTTCGACTATTTCACCGTTACACAATAATGAAGGTTGAGTTCGAATTTCATGAAAATCGGTCCGACACTACAGGACAAAATGTCCGATTCTATACGCAAATAAGGTTAGTTTGACCCTCAAGATGTCACAATTTTTATTCGATTTTGATGACACTTAAAACATTGTTTATATCAGAAATATCTCGGTTCCGTTCAATATTCCCGCATATCGGAACTTAACGTCCAGGATTATGGCCCCTGATTGAATGAAAAAATCGCGATTTTAGCTTGTGGACCCCTAGAGGTCACAATTTTTATCCGATTTTAAAAATCGTTTAAATGTATCATCGTTACACCCTGATGATGGTTGAGTTCGAATTCCATAAACATTGAACACAAATAGTGTAAAAGTATGCAATACCAAGGTTGTGGACACTCTATAGGTCACAATTTTTATCCGATTTTAAAAATTGGTTCAATATATCACCGTTACACCATAATGGAGGTTGAGTTCGAATTTCGGAAAAATCGAAACAAAACTGCCCGACAAAATGGCTACGCATTGTATTCAAATAGTGTAAAAGTATGTAATACGAAGGTTGTGAACCTTCTGGATGTCAAAATATTTGTCTGATTTTGCGAATCTTGAAATTTATGTTTATATCCAAAAGATCTCGGTTACTTTCGATATTAACTTACTGGATTATGACCCCTGATTGAACGAAAAATCTCGGTTTTTTTTAGCTTGTTCTCTATCCATCTCTTGAAAAATGTATGTGTGTCTTGCATGGCAACCGCTGGTTTTCATAATAAAGCAGACAGGGCGTATCAGAGGATTCTGACTAAAAATACCACATGGTGATGAACTACCACTCACGACCGCTCTTCTTCTCTTCTGGACAGTTGGATTTGAGTCTTATTTTTCGGCCGTTGTTTGAAACATTCCCAAAGCATTAACAGAAGTGAAATGTTGATTTTGGCCCATGCATTTTGGCTTTCAAGCGCTATTTCCCACCCGTTCATGACCCCAACTTGACGAAGCTCTATCGAAACTACGGGTCTGTTCTAAATGGAGTCGAACTAAACACGTGCGCGCTGCATCACAAGGTCTGTCATTAAGTCAACTGGCATGGTTTTGATTCCCTGGTTGTACTTGACAAGGATAGTAGGGTACAGTATTGTCCAACGGTTAGCGTATGCGCGTTGTATCATTAGGTCTGTCATTGAGTCAGGATTCCCCGGTTCTACGTGACAAGGGGTGGGGTACCGTATGAATTACCCAATTTGAATTTATTATTGCGATATACCGCTGTGTTTAGTTATGAAATCAGAATATAAATATATCTAAAATAGCAAACTCATGATCGTGATAGATGCGTGTACATTATCACGCTGGGTAGGGTAAATTTAATTTAAAAGGGGCCGGCGCTGAGTCATGATCATTATTTACTTATCTTAAGTGACAGTGAAATAACTGTTTTATATTTTCACCTTGAAATCCTTGAATGGGGATATAAATAGCAAGTGGATCATCTTCACGAGAGTAAAACTGACTGGTATTAAACAATTTGTGAAGCCATATATCATGTTTTATCTTATTTGTTAACGGTTAATATTTGTAATATAAAATTATAGGTCCATGTTATTTGTATTTTTTTTGTGTGTGTTCACATGTGGTGGTTACTGAGTTCAAATTGTGGCACTGAATTGTTTTGAATAGTGTTCGAAGGGAGGTAACTCATTAGAATATGTGAGATTAGCCCACAGGATTATGTAATGAAAATAAATGAAATGAAATGGGGTTTAACGTCCTACTATTCTGTTCCGAACTGGGCTAATGAAGACGGGCATACGCCACACAGTGTGCTATGAGGGACATTTTGCCCGGACAGCGGCACTACGGCCTACTCTTATATCGAATTCCAACTGCCAATGAAATGAAATCATAAGAATATAGGGCTTCCTTTTGAGTCACTGGCTCAATAAGGCGCTGACACACTAACCAGGATGTCTCAGGTTCACTCTGTTTATTAGACAAGATTATCAGGACTCTTCAGGACGAATCGACGTCTAGTCATGCGGATGGGACATAAATAAACGAGACTTCCAGGTTCATACTCCATAATACATAATAGTGTGCCAGTTAAAGGGAGATAACTATATTTATCGTCGATGGGCTAGGACTAGTATCGCTTTCTCCAATAGGCTACAATTGATTTCAATATTAAATCCTGGACATTTCTGTGTAGGACAAAAAACGAAACTGAGGTTATGCTGGGGAAACAAATACTTAAGAAAATAACCCGAGAAAAAGATAAAACCGAGGCCGGCTGGCCGAGGTTTTTCTGTTGAGGGTTTTTTTCTGAAGTCTTTCTTCCACAGCATAATAGAAGTCAAGGACTTTATCTTGCTTATAAACCGTCTACGTTTACATGTACGCAAAATGAGAATATCCCAGAATTCCCGTAAGAAAAATCTTTATCATTTCTTATGGAAACAAACCTACCCTGGAAGAATAAACCGGTACAGGTTTAACGAAAAACTTTCAGAAGAATAACCCCAAATTTCTCTGTATATATACAAAGCCTAATCCTTATAAGACATATATACAAAGTCGCCCCGACTTTCAAACCGCAAGTTATTCCGGGCATAGAATATACCCCAAAGATCAAAGAGATTTCCTCCCACTACTAAAAACCCCTACGCGCAAGCGCATTATTGAAATAAAATTGGACCATATGTTAGTCCCGAGGGGTGTCTAGCCATACTAATCAAGAAACGAATGGGCAAATAAAGGTTTATAGTGGTCTCGACAAAACACTCAAATGGTTGAATTTCTAAGACGCAAGAACCTTTGTTTATTATTGCATATATAATAAAAATTCTAGGGTTTGATGATCTGAGAAGCAGTTGTTATATTTAACCAGTGGCATAACCAGGGTATGTGTTGTCCATGACGGTCCTTGACTCCCCCAACATATCCCTCCTTCTCCGCCAACGAACAACATAGCAACAACACAGAAAGTACCACCCAAAAAAAGTTCCATCTCCATCCTCGTCCGCCCTAAGTTCAGGTGTTTGATCCCTGCATTGGCCGAAAAAGTTCATTCAGATTTTCCGGCGTGGTTTCCCCTTGTCAGTGATGCAGGATCGAGGGCCTGACAAGGACAGCTGTCTAGTCGTTCGTATGGGACGAAAAACCGAGGTCCCGTGTACATATTAGCGTGCACGTAAAAGATCCCTTGGCAGTTGGAATTCGATATAAGAGTAGGTCGTAGCGCCGCTGCCCGGGCAAAATTCCCCTCATAGCACACTGTCTTCATTAACCCAGGTTAGGAGCAGAACAGTAGGACGTTAAACCCACTAGAAACATCAACGCTGATTGGTTAATAAAATGTCTGACGTCATAGGGTCAAAAACCTCTCGTATAACCCGACGCGACCTTCCACTACAACTGGTCACAGAGAGAAATGGGGATGAACAATTGGTCAGATCTTCATGTAGTAGAGGCCATCGAAAGTATATAAAAAACGAAACGAAATATAGATCTGTATTTTAATCCGATTGCGGGTTTACGATGTCAACACAAATACAATATTTGAGGTTTATTCTTGAAAAATGAATACATGGAGATATATAAACAACAAAATAGTTTAAATAATTTTTGTACAATACTGTATTTCTTCTCACAACACGAATCAACGAGACATAAATTGGAAAGACATTTGAGATACTTTGAATAGAGGGGTTAACTATGTGGCATATACTGGTCACAATTCTATGGAATACCGTTCCTGCTTATTATTGAGCGATGTTTCGACTAGGCTTCTCAATGCTTGATAATGACATAGAGAAACCTAGTCAAAACGTCGCTCAGTAATAAGCAGTAATTGTATGCCATAGAATTGTGATCTGTATATTCCAGTTCAGTTACTAAATGCCATTGAAACAATTTAACTTTGAGGCGGTTTACAAGATCCCGTATGTTTGTATAGGTAATATTATATAGGTCACAATATTTGATATAAAACTTGCCATTCTATTGTCGTTATTTTAAAGGCACAGCAAGCCAGATCGTTCATATATAATATATACTGATACGCAATGAAAACGCAGCACTGATTTGACTTCTGTAGCAGCAGTACCAGATACTGCGATCTCGGTGTTCAGGTGTCCTTATCTTTTGAAATGCCACATTTTATACCCCCCACAAAATCGTTATTTTCGAATTCCCATTCTATCGAATTACATTTGAGACAATTGTTTGACCACTGATCCATGGTGAAACATCATACTCACGCTTTATCGTCGTGATTTGGTGTTGCATGCAGAATTCCAAGATTATGGTGTATCTCTCATTTCTCAAAAGAGAAAGAAAATGGCGCTGAACGTCCTACTTTTCTGCACCCACCGGGCCTCTCAAATTAAATGAAATGAAATGAAATGAAATGGGGTTTAACGTCCTACCCACTGGGCTAGTGGAGACGGGCATACGCCATACAGTCTGCTATAAGGGAAATTTTGCCCGGACAGCGGCACTAGGGCCTACTCTTATATCGAATTCCAATTGTCAAGGAATCTTTACGTGCACGCCAATGTGTACACTGGGCCACGGGTTTTTGTCCCATCCGAACTGACAAGGAGGAACCACGCGGGAAAATCTGGATGAACTTTCTCGGCCAATGCAGGGATCGAACACCCGACCTCCAGGCTAGCGAACCAGCGTCTTACCCACTTAGCCACCGTGATCACCAGTACTCTCAAACGAGATCTACAGTTAGTTATCAAAGTGGTGCGTTTTCATTGCGTCTCATTATATTTCAAACACTTGTAGCCTACTACATGTATATTATTGTAAAAATTCGTAATCCAACAGAATCACTAAGAAATATTCGATAATATGTAATTATGTATAGTAAAAGAATTTAAAACAAAGGGGAGATAATTCTTTGGTGTTTATATTTAATACATGTAAAATATAGTGAGACATTTGTTTCGTGGAATGATAAAATTATAAAGATGTAGAAGGCAGGCATAGTAAGTAGTTCTTTACTTATCACAGTTAGTTTATGCCAATAGTTGCATTTCGTCAATAAAAGAACACGAGCAAAACAAGAGTGATCCCCCTTATATTATGAGTTTCATTCTTGTCCAATGAACTTCCACAAAATGTTAAATAAATACACTTTAAATACACGTATTGGTTAAATTGGAAGTGTATGTCGATCACATACATCCTACAGTTTCACAATTTCACTTCAAACTTCAAGTCAACTATTGAACTACATTCTTGGTTTCACAAACACCAAGATACTATTTCGTTTCGTTTATTTGGTTGATCACTTCCCAAAATATAAACCCTGACTGTCCACATTTGGTCATCAAAGCAAAAACGATAACAACGCTCTTTTAGTTTACATTTTACTTTGTGTCACCGCCTTTAACATGGCGGCGTCTGAAGGTGACGGTTGTACCAATAGATTCACAGCCAGCGAGCCATTTCCATACATACTATCACTCATACGACGAATATAGGAAGGCGAACGATTAAATTGACTGGCTCTAGACTGAGAAAATGGCGCATTAACGCGTTGAGGCGGGGGTTCGGATAAACAATGCCAACAGAAATCCAAACACGTGTATTCTTCATCTTGTAGCTGTTTCAACATGGCGCCTTCCACAACCACTGGCTTGGGTTCAATTCTTAAAATACATTTAATAAGGTTAATCACTTTCCAGACCATTTCACGGCGAAACAATATATACACCCAAGGATCGAGAATAGGATTAAACGACGCGAATCGCACCATGAGTAACCCCGCTTGATCTACGTTGATCACATTAACAAGACTAGTCTGGCACACAAGAACATAAAACTGAAACGAGAAAAAAAAACATGTTATTACGTCAACATTAACTTAGTGGATTATCTAACATGGGAGCCATAAATATCTTCGCTGCTTCAGCTGGAATAAAAATAAATGGAGTTCCAGTCATTGGATTAACATGTTTTCGTAAAGTGCTTTTAAGGCTTATTCTCGCCATTAAATTATTGTTCTAAATGTCATTCTCTAATTCACAGATTTATTTAGAATTGTAGTCGATTATTTAATTACATTAAAGTATAAATAATATCTTTATAATTAAGACATCTAAATCTTTCTTTGAAGACGGGTTTAGCAAGTATGGGGGTGGTAGTAATCTTATGAAATGAAATGAAATGGGATTTAACGTCCTACTTCGACTGGGCTAATGAAGCCGGACATACGCCATACAGTGTGCTATGAGGAATATTGTGCCCGGACCACGACCTACTCTTATATCGAATTCCAACTGCCAAGGGATCTTTTAAGTGCGCGCTAATGTGTACACGGGACTTCGTTTTTTTGTACCATCCGAAAGACTAGACGTTGCCTAGCCCTCTGACCCGCATCATTGACAAGGGATGGATCGAACACAGAACCTCGAGGTTACCGAGCCCAAAGTCTTACTCACTGAGCCACCCTGGCTTCCCTATGAAGTAAAATGGGGTTTCTATACCAAAGGGGTTAATGAAGACGAACATACGCCATATAGGCCTAGCGTGCTAAATGGATGAAATTTTGCTCTAACAGCAGCGCAACGGTCTACTCTACACCCTGTACGAACAATCATTGATTCTTTTACGCTTAAAAGCTTTCCGTTTACAAACCATCCATGCTGCCCCGCTGACGAGGGAAGACTGGGCTTGAAATTACCGAGAAATTTATTCAAGAAACTCGGAATCTCCTGGTTTGTGACCTAGCGACCTACTCGCCGAGCCACCGCTGTAAACAATACTAGCAAAATATCAGTGTTTTATCCCCGGAACAGGACATAATACTCTGAAATGTTACAGGTGAAAGCATTCAGAATCAAACCCTCTCCCCTTATTACCGTCTAGACAACTCAATCAATTGTATGTTTCTAGTTTGATATCATCACCGGATGCCAACACCTGTCATTACGACGGAAATAAAATCAGCAAAACAAACAGACTATACAGAAATAGTCATGATGATCCCCTGTTTCCTGACTATAGACGTTTTAAACCGACTAAGACTCCCGATTCGGATTCTTTTTTAAAATAGATTACGAACACTAATGTGTACGGTTACTATTTCCGTATATTGAGATTAAGCCAGCTTGATTTATGTTCCCCAATATAAATACCATTTATTAATCCGCCAGAAGTCTTGGGTATCAATAATTATCAACGACGTCAATCAACCAGTATGACGTATCGCCACGCCAACCAATCAGATTTTGTCGTCGTTGGCACGTCGCCCAGGTAACGCCATTTTGTCAGACATCTAAAACGTCAATAAATTGTCAAATTTAAAGTTCGTGATTTCTAATCAAAATAGAATTTTGTAACTTTTCTTTGGAATAAATTTGTGAATTTCCAGGAACCTCCTTAAACTTTGAGTTGTCGAGAAAGATGCAGTCAGGTTGTTGTCAAGGGTGTGGCTATATTTACTCCGGAGATGCGTTCATTAGTATTCGACAAGAGGAAACGCTCGTATCGTTGGCATAACAAAATAAGTAACAGACACACGCGCTATAAAGAGTTACGACGTATTTATGTTATTTATGTGACTATACGTCATCAGATAGCTAAAAATATATACGATATTAACACGAAAGTAATTAACGGTAAAGTCATTAACACACTATCAATGATCAGTATGTAACAGCCAGGTTAACAATATCCGGGAATCAGCTAGGGACGAGTATTCCACGATAAAACTCCATCACGTTTGTATATTCAGCGATGCTACCGAGTCCCCGAAGATGCATAAAGGATCCGCATGATAGCACACTATACGGCGATTGACCTTCGATAATATGTATTTGTAACACCAGAAAAGCCCAATTTCAACCTTAAATACTAATAGTAATACATGTACTTAGTTAGCATTTATACTATTCGTAACAGATGTACCAGTGGTATTAACATAGATTTGGAATATCGATGGTCAATGCGAAGATAAGGGGAAGGGGTGGTGGGGGTTCTAAAACATGCGCTTGACTCCCAAGTGTAGGTAGTTGGAATCTCTGTGATCACAGGTTTACATCCAGCACCAAAGACATCTAAGACATCAAATTTTTTTTAGAAAAGTTGAAAGGTAAAGAACAAGTCGAGTTTAAAACAACGATTATGGACCCGCCATTATTACAATGTTGAAGTAGCTTGTCATGACCAAAGAGAGACGGAGAAATGGAGTTTAACGTGCACTCGGCCACCCATGGGATTTAAGCAAATTTAGTAGCGTACTTAATTTTGTGTGTGTGCGTGTGTGCGCGCGCGCGTGTGTGTGTGTGTTTGGGGGGGGGGGGCATCTCCAGTGTGAACATCGTGTGTAAGGTGCCGGGCAGTAGAAGTTTGACAATTTTATTTTCCACGTAAACAAAACACCGCTCCGGGGAAGGCTGAGTGAGTGTTGGGCGGGGCGGGGGAGGGGGGAATAGCTGGTCTACTGGTGGGCTAACTGTATAAACTCTTCTGAGTCCAATACATAGTGAATTTGTTTTCAGGCACGTGCTAGCCATAAGCACTAAACTGTCTTTTCAAATAAGCACTAAACTGTCTTTTCAAATAAGAATCGATATCATAATTCATAATACTGTTTCCGGGTTTACGAATACAAACAAACAAATTAGGTCGGAAACATTTGACACTGTATTAATTTTAGTGTGATTCCGGTTCCGGTTCCGTGGTCTTTAAGGCTAATAACTCACTAAACATCCATTAACACAAGCAACGTTAGTCAGGCAGTTTGGTTAATGTACTGTTTATTATAAAACATAGTCATTAATTATCACTGGGTAATACAAGTTCAACTCAAAAATAAAGTACATTACACGATAATGTAATTAATTCTACACAATATTATTTCTACGTTCTCTTCCCTCCCATTGATTATTGATGTAAGCGACATTATGAACCTGTGATATTTTGACATTGATTATTGATGTAAGCGACATTATGAACCTGTGATATTTTGATAAATTGTTTTTCTAACTAATATAAAATATATACAATGATCTAAAGAATACAAACAGAGACCGATGACATTTTGAATTTATCTTTGAACTTAACTAAAAATAGCGAAACGCCATCACAAGAATGTCCAATATTTAATTTACCGCCATCATACCTGGAGGCCGATAAATAATATATATCTAGTTTAATGACACTTTTTGAGCATCAAGTCGACAGAGATTGGATGCGCCCATTTTTTGTTTACTGAGTTGCGAATTTCAAGTAGTGATTTTCGAGCGTCAATTCGAAATGTGATAATCTCTAATCCCCCGCCTTAGGTAAATATTGCAAAACATTTGTCTTTTGAGTGAGACGGATATACTTGATATCCCAAACTATTCTCTATACGTACAGAAATACAAATGGTGCCAGTCATTTGTCGATATATTCATTATTAGCTATATATAATTATAATAACCATTTCTTTACACAAAGAACAACTTTTATCGTAACTCCATTTGAAATTCACAGCGAATATGGAGTTTCCCGATGACTATGCATAACAATAGATCGCCCTCATTTCTCAGTCAATCAACGCCGGGAATCTTATGTTCCATGCATACTACGGGCGTAGTAACTGAGGTTAAATGTTGGCGCGACAATTGCATGGGATTCATGGACATGAAAACAAATACACGTGATCATATATGAAGTTCCTGATGCCGTTTGGTGAGTGATTAAACTGTCAATGTAATTGTAAAATATCCTTTATTATAAAAAAGTTAAACGATGTTAAACATTAAAACCTAATTTTATCACAACCGTGGTTTCTGACACTATTCCACTTGTTCTTAGTAACTCGAGTAATTACCCCAACGTAATAGATGCACTTTGTTTTGCAAATCAGACTTCACCTTATGATGGATTTTTCATTAGTTATTTACAACATAAAACGGGTTGTAATTGATTCAGATAGACTACTGGGTTTAGAACTGGATGAACCAAACCTTGAATGACGCGGATATGGCTTATATCACACAATAAAGATATAGGATTTAATCAACAGCATGTTATGATTTGCCATTTGGTAATTTAATGAGATGTGAATCAGTTAAGACCGACGATTGAACAGAGTCATAGTTGTGTTGAACAAGGACATGATTGTTGACAAACGTAAACATTTTGTTTCTCTGTGTAATTATTAATTATGTGGCTAACTGGGCAAGACGCTGGCTCTCGCTCCCGGTGTCGGCAGAGAAGTTCATCGGGATTATCCGGTGTGGTTTCCCCTTGTCAGTGGTAAAGGACAGAGGGCCTGGTTAAAGCTGTCTAGTCTTGGGGCGAAAAAACGAAGTCCCGTGTACACATTGGCAGTTAGAATTTGACATAAGAGTAGGCCTTAGTGCCGCTGCCCTGGCAAAATTTCCCTTATAGCACACTGCATGGCGTATGCCCATCTTCATTAGCCCAATCGGAGCAGATAGTAGGACGTTAAACCACATTTCATTTCATTTCACTTTAACGGATAAGCATGGTCAGTTTTGTAAGTTTAATTTCTGGACTTTGAGATTGGATTCAGGAGAGAGAATGGGATGGTTGCTCGTGGAGTTGTCTTTCTGATCTAGCCTGGTAGCCACGCACCTGTTTGACAATGTATATTATATAATAATATATATATTATATCCGAAGTTTATCCTGTTTTCTTGTGAATAGAGAGCGAGAGAAAAATGGGGTTTTAATGTCCACTCGACACAAACTAGGTCATTTCGGGACTAACACATGGTTCAATTTTGTTTCAATAATTCTCTCTCTCTCTCGTGGGTTTTCTCTGGGTCCTCCGGTTTCCTCTCACTGCTAAAGACTCATAAGCGA